GGGGGGGGGGCGTGCGCCCCCCACGCCCCCCTTTAAATCCGCCAGTGATACCAGTTATACACGTCCCTGTTTTTAGTTAAATCTGATTTTCAACGTCATTTTTCAGGCATGTAGCATTGCTTTCCTAAGTCGGGGTGGGAATGTGGGCAAAGAAAAGGCCAAAGGGGGGGGGGGTCAGAAAGTTGACAGTCAGAGTGAAGGGGGGGGGGGGATTTGACAAGCAACACAGGCCTAAGTTCAAAAGCATTTTTTCCTGGAGTGGGCTCGATCAATCATAAAGTGAGGAGGGACAACCCGCCCTTGAATGAGCATTTCCATTTTCTGTTTGTAATCATGCTCTGTTATTGTTTATGTTTACATTTTACCAGAAGTGTTCGATTTCACAGGTCTTTAAGATGTTATGAGAAACATCGTTGTCATTGAATTTGAATGTTAAGAATTTCCATTTAAGTTTGAAACGTTAAACTGAAGTTTGACAGTGCAGTCAACAGTAACAGTTAGTTTTTGAATGTGGCAACTGCACGTAGCCGTAAGCAGTCTGAGGCAACTGCACATAACCGCAAGCAGTGGCAATCCTGAAGTAGTCAACACAGTTAGAACAAGCAGTCGAAGTTTGCTGTCATACATGGAACTCCGTAGCTTTGCAAAGCAGGTGCAGACACTTAGATGAAAGTTTAAGGTGATAAAAAGAAATATGTCGCCTATTAGGAAGTTTATATACATGTAGTGTTAGCTTACCAATAACCAATATTTTTATCTGCAGATTAACTTGTATTCGGTGTTCCCTATAATAATCATCGAGCGCTTATTGTGGAGATTTTACATAAAGTATACTTTAATATTAGATGAAATATAATATCGTAAAGGGCTAAATTTCAGAAGAATGCATCAATTATTATCTTGGGTTGAATATATTCCTATTTTAATTTTAAAATCATTATCGGGAAGCTAATGACTTAAGAAAAATAGTCTATGGAAGTGTTTATTTATATTTTCAAAACATTGTACAGTGTATCAAAGTGATTATATCTCTTATTAGACACTCACAGCTAATTCTAATTAATTACATGTATTGAAATCTGAAGAGTAAGCGATAATCTTGCCCCTGGTTACACGACTGGTTCATCACTTTGAGCTTGTATAGATATCATTTTTTAAAATTATATTTCGGTTGTATACACTCAAGACAATTATATATTTCAAACATTGACAAATATCAAATGTAGAATTCTTTATTATACACCTACAAGACTGTACATCCAGTTTTACTTCCAAATACCGACGCAAAACCTGTCATGAGAGTATGATGATGCACATATAAAATAAACTAGTAGATATTATCTATTTTATTGAATATTCAAATATAATTATTCAAATACTTTCATTTAATATTCGAATATGAACTATTGACAAAATTGACATCAGGTCAGATACCATGAATTATGCAATTTTTGTTTTCATTCACCCATGGATGCTATATGGCAAAATTGGTTGTACTTTTTTCAGTGGTTCCAGAGAGGAAGCTGAAAATGTTTAAATGTTAAGTTATAACCAATAGACAAAATGAAATAGCAATAGGTCACCTTAGTGACTGGGGTGACCTAATAACACAAAAAACTTCTCCTCTGCTTTTAAGGGCTTGGAACCTTCTGCTTGAAAAACAAATGCAAAAATGGAGGCAATGTATTTTACAAGCAGGCAGCATTAAAAGTTTTATGCCTTTTTTCTATTGTTTTGCTTTTTGGCTTCTTTTCTTTCTTTCTTTCTTTTTTTTTGTTTTGTTTTTTTCTTTTCATTTTTTCTTTCTTTTTTTCTTCTGTATTTTTTTTTTTTTTTTTTGCTTTTTTTTGTTTTTGTTTTTTGTTTGTTTGTTTGTTTTTTTTTTTGTTTTTTTTTTTTTTGTTTTTTTTTTTTTTTTAGTTTTACTAATATAATAAACATTAACATTTCACTGCATAACTAGTCACAAAACATCATTCACTGTCACAATTTAACATTTACTCCTAACAGTCAATAAACATTTATATTTACTTTCCCTGCATTAACTATTCACAAATTACCATTTTACATTTACTGCTAACTTTACATTTACATGTACTTTCATTGCATAATTTAGGTCACAATTTTTCATTCACTGTCACAATTTAACATTTACTTATAAAACAATTAACATTTATGTGTACTTTCCCAGCATAACTATTCAAAAATCACTATTTACTGTAACAATTTAACATTTACTGCCAATTACATTTACATGTACTTTCATTGCATAACTTAGGTCACAATCAATCATTCACTGTCACAATTTAACATTTACTACTAATACAATTAACATTTATTTGTACTTTCACTGCATAACTAGTTACAATTCATCATTGACTGTCACAAATTTACATTTACTAATACAAACAATAAACATTTACATGTACTTTCACCACAGAACTAGTCACATCAATAATAAATGCTGATTAACATTCAATTATACAATAAATTATTAGTCACCATTCCATCTTATAATTTTTACAATATAAACTTCTTAAGTGAATATGTACAGAATAATCACAATTCTAGCAAAACAATAGATAATAAAAGATATTTACATTAGAATATTCTCAAAGATAACATAATTATCTCACTGGCATAGAAAAAAAGAATGGGGTCAGTGTGGGAGGAAACCGGAGCACCCGGAGAAAACCCACGTGTCTGAGTGGGCGACCCCGTACCCTCTTACAACTCAGACACCCATTTCCAAAACAAATCTTTCAAAAATATTTGTTTTGGATAATAAAAAAATAATAACATTGTAAATTGGATGTGCTTGTGTGTGCTTTACAGATATGGCTTTCTACATTGTCATCTTCCTTTGTCTTTCTCCAAACATGATCACAAGGATATGCCTCTTCAATACTTTTATATTCTGTCAATGAACGAGAAAAAAGTAATTATCCATTAGGACTGACAAGTAAAATTGAAGAACAGAATCTAAAAGAAAGGCATAATTGGGTAACTTCCATACCTGAGGGCTTCTTGTCATTCATAATGTCAAGCACATCCACATGACTTTATCTGAGTCTCCTGCTGGGTACTGTCACCAAATCACCAAAGCACACTAGTATAAAATAGAAGTTAATATACTCAATCATCCAAGTAAGTAACAGTAACTAATAAAAGAACAGGCATATCTAAGTGAAATGTTATATAACTCTAAGATGATATTCTCTTGCTGTTACTTTTTCAAAAAAAGATTTTGGATTATTAATTAAGTCAAATACCTGATCAGTGACAGTTATCCACTGTGATATGTCTCGCTGTTGGGAAGGCCAAATCCATTAGTCTTGCCTTTTCCAGGTTTTTACACGAATTCCTGTCTGGCTGTAGCTGCTCATTTCCACATCTTGGAGGATCAACATCCCTCAGTATTGTCTTTTCTAGGTTTTTTGCACCAATTCCTGTCTGGCTGTGGCTGCTCATTTCCATATCTTGGAGGGTCAACATCCATCAGCATTGCATTTTCCAGTTGTTTCCATCAAATCCTGTAGGCTGCAAAAGCTCTTTTCACATTCATCAACACAATCCTTTGAAGTTTCCTCTTCAACCTGTCAGATGCGAGTGTCTTATTTCAAACAGTGTCAGCTTATGATTATCTCATTGGCATAAAAAGAAAGTGAAAAGAGGGGTCAGTGTGGGAGGAAGCCTCAATTTTGATGAAACTTCATCAGACTTCTGAGATTTCCATACACGAGGTGTATCAGATGCCAGTGTATGGAATATGGAAATTTGGTAGACAAGCTTCAAAACAAAATGACTCTTAAAATTATTATACGTACAATTGCACATCTTTTTAACTAATTTTATATAACATTTTATTTGTAGCTAAGATATGTTGATTTATTCTAAATTGTAGCCATTGTAATTTGGAACTTTCTAATACAGTAAAACTTGTCTAATCCAAAGAAATTGGCCAGATTAGACAACATTCTGGATAAGACAACATTTAAAACTATTGAATTTACTGCAAGGGACTTAAAGTTTACGCCGTATTAGACAAGATTTCAGATTACACAACATCCGGATTAGACACATTTCACTGTAATAAGATGATCTTGGATCATGATTATGTCACATACCTGATCCGTGTCAGTTATCTACTGCAATATGTCTTTTTGGGAAGGTCAACATCCATCAGGCTTGCCTCCTCCATTGTTTCCACTAAGCCATGGCCCTAGACCATACATTGTAAAAAGACTTGGGTAAATTTTTTTTTAGTATCTTGAG